TTTTTTTTTTTGGCTTCCAGTTAACTTGGGTAGATGCACACCACTTTTTAGATTAGGGTAAACAGCGTAACACTAACAGACCTTTTTTCCACCTGTACCTACTCATCTTGGCTCAACTCTGTTTTGGACGGTTTCTTTTACAGTCGAGTACCAACTAATGGCGACTCAAACACCACGACGATGGAGGAGGTTGAGGTGATGCTATACCTGCTGCCTCCTTTTTTTTGCATAGCCAGGTCCCTAATTTCCAGGTTTCAAAAATTATGGTTTTGATTTTTGTGAAGGAGACGCCCTCATGACTAATTGAGGAACACCACTGACTAGCCAATCGGTGGCATGCAATCTGTTGACGTCTCGTTTTCTGAGTATGGGAAACCCTAGAAACAGTCGAGTTAAGCCGAGCAGAGTAGGTTTATAAAAGACATCTTGAAATTTGTGTTGTAGCATCCTTTTTTTCTCCCTTAAATCCAACATTTGAATTTTTTTTTTTGAATGCCCGTTTCTATTGAAGCGTCTCATATTCTTGACTGATGGTGCGGTTGTCATGTCGTTTGCAGAGTGATGGTCCTGCTGTGAAGGACATGCTCGAAGCCGGCATTCTGGATCCCTACCTGGTCAAATACTGGGGCATAAAACTGGCTACCAATTCCGCTATCACAGTGCTGAGGGTGGACCAGGTGGGTACAAACAAAACATTCTTAACACACAAACTCTACATGTAATGAAAGCCAGCCTCAAACAGAATATTTTATGAACTTTTGAAATTGTGTTTTTTGTTTTTGATTGAGACAGAAAACTGCTTCAATCAGTCAGACAGTAAGAGCCTTTAGGACTATTTTTCACCTGTTTACAAAACTTCATCTATTCACGACTTTTAATGTATCGGTTTGGTTTTTAACTGAATAATTTAGGCTTTGAGGCAAATCAATGAACTTAATGCCACACTCCACAGAGATCCAACAGACCACATCAAATCACGTCTCACAGATGTTTGCTTTCTGTTTATATTTTGAGTTTTGTATTATTCTTTTTAGGATTTTTTTATGTTCTTTAAGCACTTGAAAGCAACTGGTGGATAAATTAAGTGTGCATATATGTACGATCCAGATCATCATGGCTAAGGCTGCAGGGGGACCCAAGGCTCCCAAGCAGAGAGGCCATTGGGACAAGGACGGTTGGGATGAAGAGCCTGATAATTTTGAAACTCACCATTAGAGGGCACACACAAAACCCTCAGTCGCTCAGTCAGTAGGTTTTGGAATGTGTGTGCGCTTTTAACTAAAAAAGAAAAAAAAAATCTGCACCGGTGTGCTCAGTCACTCACAGGAGGTTGAAATATGTATGCGTTACCTGTCACTACTAACACTGGAGAAATGTTGCGTTACTGACTGGATTCAACCACATCACAGGTGTTTTACACAAACCCAGATGTGCCACTGCCTAAACCTGCACAGAGCAGATAGTGTGTGTGGTGTGATAGCATGCTGCATGCACTCACAAACTGCTTGCAAGTACCAAATCAAACACTGTTTTGTTTTGTTTTTTAATGTATTTTAAGAGAAGATTAATTCAGTTTAGACTTGGTTGAAGATGTTTTGTGAAACATGAAGTGCATTAAGTAACTGACCCAGAGTTTAATTATTATTTCTTCAGCTCATTTTTTTTCTTTAATTATTTATTTGATTTTAAGTGTTCACGTTTTATGCACAAGTACATTTTCCTGTGTAGAGAATTTCTCTTAAAGCACAACATACTGCTACGTGTGCTCATAAATGTTTAATCACCATAAATGGACTTCTGGAATATCTGTAGGGATTTAAATGGCCTTTTTTTACTTTGAAAATATAGTCCCCTCATTTTTAAATAAGCACCGCAGTTTAAGATTGAACACATTTTGGATGCTGTGGTTAATGTTTGTCTATCAATTATTTTATGAAGGTCAGAGGTGAT